CCTCCTCCTCTCATTGGCTGATGTTGCTCAGCCTGAAAGTACAGATGTAATCTCTCGTCACTAAATTCCTTTATATCAAGATGGTCGATATCGTTCTGGCAGCTCCAATGAGTGTCTAAGCCGCTCAGGAGGTTTAAGATGCAATCTTTAAACCACTCACATAGATAAATAATCTGTGTTAAATCTGTACCAACCAAAGGCCTAAACCAGATTCCTGTCTTAATCGTTGGGACTAACAGATGTATAGTCTAAGCCCAGCTTTAGAGTGAGTCTCTGATGGAGTTTCAGGTATTACTCTTTGTAACCCGAAACCTAAGCGTGAGTGAGTTTTGTGTTTAGACTCTAACGGCTCGAGCCTTTGTGATTTATGATCTGCATTGTGAGACACTTCCCCGTCACCTGACCCGTCTCCTGCCTGTGTGTATGTGCGTGTTTATCGATCCATCTGCTCGTCCTTCAACATAAAATCCCAAATATGGTAGCGAGGACAGTGAGGACCCATTCCTTCCCCTTCCTGCTATCTCCTCATCTTTTTGTTTATGTGTGTCTCAGTAACGGCCGGGGTCATCAGTTAAGGATCAGACCTCACCTCTGTTGAGAAACAGTCAGATAGGAGTTTCAACAAACAGGGAAGGATTTTTTCCGTATCTCAGTGAAAGATCGCTGATAACATTTTTTGGGGGCTGATGGGAGGAAAGGTCTCGGCATTTATGTCAGCTTTCAACAGCCATTATTTTTCAAACCTGGAAAGGTCTCTAACCACTAGTCCTCTGAAAGCCTTTCACAGTTTTGTCAAATAACGGAGATTTATGGCCTCTCTGAGAACACAGAGCTGTTTTATTGTGGCGAGAAAGCTCCTGAGGGTCTTTTTCAAACTGGCTGAAAAAAGCTGATGGTTTTGAAAATTGTGATGTGGTTTAACAGAGTTGGCTTCAATAAAACTTCTGTATCACTTAAACGAACATTTAACATATTGTGTTTCAGTGACAACACTGTAATCCACCCAGAAACACAACTGCACGACTTTTTATTCTCCCCCTGCACCTCAATGAGAAAGTCTACTGTGTGAAGACCAAGTCCTCGGCGGAACAGCTCACTCAAGGTTATTCTCACAACCTTCCCCATTTATCAACACAAACAGCTCTGAAAGTTGAAAACAAGAGAGTGAGGGCTCTCTTTTTATGGGGCAAACGCCATAAAAATTCTGGATGTTCTCCAGTTATCAATTTTATGGACAGAGCGGCGGCACTCAGGGTCATTTCAGTTCAAGATGAAAACGTAAAGATGCTCATAAGGCTTAAGAACAGAAACTTTAACTACTTTCAGCTGCACAGTTGTATATCATACTGACAGAAATCGTTTTATAATCTTTTGATTCAGTTTTAACAACCAGTACATAAACCATTAGTAGAAAAACATCGTACTGAGTTCATTTGGCTTGTGCTTTTATCCAATTTTTCATAATAGATGCATTCAGTTCAAAAGTGACAGGGCTGGATGACAAAGAGTGTAAATGATAGAGCCGTAAATGCTAAATATTTAATTATGAAGCTTTTAAAACTGAGGTTTAGCTCTCACCTGTAACAGTAAGGTTCAGTAGGGTGACCATATGTCCTCTTTTACCCAGACATGTCCTCTTTTGGGGGGGCTGTCTGACTTTGTCTGGGGAATTTTGCAAGATCCTTCAAATGTCCACGGTTTTGTATTTTGTGTCTCATGGACTTACTCAGAAGCATGTAAAAGGCACTCAATCAGAAAAAGACATTATTTTCTGATTATTACCTGTCTCTCTGTCTATTTTGAATACCTGAAAAAGCTTTTTTGGTTATGATTCATGATAAATATGTGGAATATTACTGAGATTAATATTACTGAGAAGTGTTTGAAAGGTTCAAAAGCAGCTATTTGTTAAAAAAAAGGAGTAAATATGTAGATATATTTAAAAAATTTAAAAACTTGGTATCTGCCTCGGCCCCCCAAAATCCATATTGGTCGGGCCCTAGTGTTAACTCATTTTCAATCTGCTTGACTACTTCACTATCCTATATATATTCCTATTTTTTAGCATCTTTAAGTACAGAAATATAAAGTTTAAGATAAATGTGAAATACTAAAAGCATATTTAAGCCTAATAAACCATTAAAAGTATCACAAGCTTTAATTTTATAGAAACCCCATGGAGACTTAGAGTGAGATTTATCCGTTTTTCTGGTCTTCTCCTTCTGCAGCTGCTGTAAGTTAGCCGTCCTTGAGTAAAGCACATAATAAGTAAATAATAAGGCCAGTAGCTGCAGCGTCTGGGAGGTAGAAGTGAAAAGTGCAGGAATGTGACATTTAGCATAAGTCCATGTATCCAGAACAAACCCTGAAGGTTCGAACAAACTGTTTAATTGTTAAGTACAATGGTGCTTTTCAGCAGTCCAGTGGGCAGACATGCTACTGTACTGTGTTAGTGGAAGAACAGCATTCTCACATTGGCAGCAGGTCGGCTGTTCCAAAACCACTTCATCTGTCCTCTTCCAGTCTGGCTAACGTACACCTTTGCTGGTTTTGGACAACACAAACTTTGGAAAAGGAGAAGCATAAATCCCTCGTCTCTCTCTTTCTCTCACTTGCTGACTGTTTCTCTCTCTTTAATGCATGTTGCCCCACACGTACCAAATTTGCACAGATGAAAAATGTCAAGGGCAGACCACCTGGTTATTTCATGCCCGGTCAGAGGAAAATCATCCTGTCTTCTTCAATGAGGCACAGTGTGCGGAGCGTGCTACGTCCCGCTCACATATCAACGCCATTAAACAGGCATGTGCTGGGCCAGCTCCAGGGCAGCGCCTGCTGCTCCGCTAACTGAAGTCCCATTCAAGGTAATCTACACCAACCCAACCAATTTCACAGGTGCAGAAATGTGCAACAAGAAGAATTTGTAACATTAAAGCAGCGTTCAGACGATCCTTGGGTGGATTCAGCAGCGTGGAAAGGACTATTTTATGAACATAAGAGCCGTTGTGTTGAGTGGAAAAAAAACTTTATGTGGCTGGCGTCTTCTTCAAATCAAAATCGTCTTTTTATTCCATTTAGCTTCCTACAAGTTTGACCAACTGTGTAATTACACAAAGAAATTAAAGAAAACAAAGAAAAAGAGCGTATTAGTAACAGGTCAATCTTTAAAATCATGAAAAGGGATGTTGAAAAAGGAGCATGTGTATTTGACCACCTGTTTAATTTGTAGTTAAGTTCAAGTGTGTTAATTTTGGCAGCTATTTCAGATTTAATCATGGTCTTTAGAGAAAAAAGCGCTGCACTGTGTTTGTAGATGAACTAAAGTAAGGAAAATAAAATACACACAGCTGAAAGTGAAAATAAAGAGGAACGTTTCTGAGCCCAAGTCAAGCAAGAGGACATTTTTTCTTTTTTACTTTGGCTTCATTTTTTTTTTTCTAAATGAAAGTCTAATTTGACCTCGTCTGCCAGAGCAAGAATAAAAGGAGCTGTGTCGTACTTTTACGAAAACCCTATATGTCCTGTTGATGAAGTTAGGTGCTGTTCTTAGCATTATTTGTGGCTATAGAGTGGCGTCTTGGTCTACTCGACAGTAGAGTCTGTTCTCCTCTATGGTGGTGAATGCTGGACCCTGAAGCCAACCCTGGAGAAATGCCTAGATGGGTGCTACACTAGGATGTTGCGGTGCAGTTCTTAACATTGGCAAGAACGCACATGTAACCAACAGAACATTGTATGAGGGAATACCAAGGGTGAGCGAGAAGATTGCTGTAAGGAGAATGAGACTAGCAGGACACTGCCAAAGGCATCGGGAACTGCCAGCCAGAAAATTGGTGCTGTGGGAACCAACACATGGGCGTCGGTCAAGAGGACGTCCTACACTAACATACGTGGACATACTCAAGAAGGATGCAGGAGCTCAGAGTGCCAACGAACTGGAGAGATGTATGGAGAATCAGGATGACTGGAAGCGATAATGGAAGGCTCGTCTGAGGACAAACTAGAGAGAGCGTGGCTCTCTGTATTGCTATCATGCGGTCGTTATTAAAGTTGGTATGACTAGAGAAGCAAGCAGTCAGCAACATTCATCTTTGGAGGGGGTGTCTAACTCGGTGTTACGGTGTGTTTGACCCTAAATTAATTTTACGTCAGAATATCCCTTTAACTGTATCTGTGCTTATAGGTGCACTCAGCCTTCATTCAGTCACCATCACAGATGATCTACTGTTGAACAAAACAGTGAAATGACTTCCTGAACATGCTCCTAAACATGGACAAACCACGGCTTTGACACTGAGCTGCTAAAGTGAATAGATGCAAAAATACAGAAATGTTAATTACTTAACTCAGGTCACCCGAGTTCCTTATCAGAGTGAGAATGATGCAGATTAGACCGCATAGACTGTATACAAAAACTTTTTGATTAGTATCCAATGACCTAGACCTCTATAAAAATCCTAACTGTATATAAAAAACTGCTCGTCACAGTTTAAGCAGAAGAAATTGAAGTAGTGAGGATTGGCGGGCTGTACAGTGTGAGAACTAGACGACCCAGGTTGAAGCAGAACGGTCCCTGTGGGGTGAGAAAACTACCTGCTTCATTCTTCTCAGCTTCTCCTGTTCCACAAATCCTCCAAAGCAGCAAAAATAGTTGGATATGAGCCGCTTTTTTATGGAATTACAAGTAACCGGTTTCTTTTGTGGTATTTCCCTGACACAAGCTTCAGCTCTCTCTCTCTCTCTCTCGCTCTCTCTCTGCCGTGTCATTTCAGATTAGCCGCCTAAACTCAGTACTTATTGTAATTAATCTAAATCTATCCAGATGGGGAATGGTTTCAGTTTCATCCACTACAAGACAGAGCTATTAAACTCTGTATCCTTTGGGACTTTTTCTCTCATTATGTCTTTTTTTCTTCTTCTGACAGTTCAACTGTCCTTCTCATGACAGCAGATTCGAGGACAGGCTCAGAGTCACTCGACAGCTGTTCTCCTCCCTCCGTTTATTCGAGTCCGTCGGTGACGACAGATACTCCTTGTATCTTCTTCGTCTGGATGACAGGCGCTGAGGACTTCCACTGATCTTTCTCTTGGCCTTCCTCCCTCTGCTCATCCGGCTGTGATTGTTTCTTGTCCATGTCTGTTTCCCGGGTCACCGTTCTGATTACTGTTGCAGTCTCATTACACTTTGTGCCGTAGGTCATAATTTCCAGAAAACAGACTCCTCCCTTCCTGAACTTGACATCTGTCACACTGTATGTACAGCTTTTTATGGCACTAATTGTTTCCATTGGACACGGTATTTAGCACATTAGCTATGGTGCTGTGGAGTCGTGATCACACAGTACTTCTCTGTCCTACTTCAAATACTATATCATCCAAAGTAAAGAACTGAGCAGACTATACAATGATGGAGAGTGTCTCCAACTACTCTCACTGTACAAAATGAAGCCAAATTTTCACCAAATTTTAGGTGATGACGTATCGCATTGGAAAAACTTTTGCAGCCTACTATATAAAACCATGGATGGTGCATCAGTTATCCCAAATGAAGCCACAACTTTTACTGTCTCCACACACCAAGCGCGAGTAAAATCATTCGCGGGAATGAATTACATGTTAAGTCAATGCAAAGACGCGATTAGATGCTCCTACTACTTTGGTGGCGCGAATGATGCGAATTGGGCGATGACTAGTCAGCACGAAGGTTGCCGGGTGACGTATAGACTGGGGTTTAGACGAGTGCAACCAGGTATGCCTGACATCGGACAGTGGATCTGCTCACTCTGTGCAATAACAGTTTTTAATAAATGTCAAAGGTGTTAGTATCTTATTTGACTCTGCCAGCTGGTGTCCCCAAGACAGAATGAGTCAAAAACATAAAAAGGAATTACAAAATTTTATCGTTATCACCAGAAAGGCCAAACTTATCGTGATACATTTTTTTAGCCTATATCGCCCATTCCTAGTACACACTCACAGTAAAGTTGATTGAGCTCCAGCTCTAGCAGCAAAATCCCAAATAGAGCCGATTTTAGTGACAATATATATGCTATTTGTAGGATCGGACACAGCATGAATGGAGGAAAGGAGGCAGAAAGAGAAGGCGGGCTGAAGCAGTTTAACACCGTCCTGACATTTTCCAATTAATTGTGAGGAAGGTTGATCTGTCAGCTGAGTTGGAATCAGCTGATGTCCTGTGGGAGGTCACTGTCAGCTGTTTTTTTTCGTTCATGTTGAGTTTAAAAATAATTCCAGACATATTTTGAATTATGCCAGACTTAAATTAACTAACTATAGTGACAAGTATGATGTTGGAGAAAATAAATATTCATTAAGTGAAATTCAGTCTTGCAGTTTGACCCATATCCCATCTGTTCACATGGATGAAGTGGACTGTATGGCATGTGTTGCAGACAGTCTAAATGTTTTGGCTTCACTCAAGGGGAGCTCTCACATCATCCTTTTTTTTTTTCTCAAGTCAGTTTTTGATTTATTTGAAAATAAATCAAAGCTTGAATTTCTCTGCGTGGAAATTAACCAGAAAGAAATTCCTTTGTGGTTCAGGTCTTTTGCTCTTTTCGTTTGGACTTCTCAAAGGGGGATTTAATTTTGACAACTGTTTGGAAACCTTCGCCAATTAGATCGATCATCACGGCTGGAAACAGAGCGTTCCCCCTCTGGAGACTTATTCTTTTACTTCAGACCGTTTGGCAGGATCTGAACCTGCTACAGAACCACATTCAATATCCTCTTTTTATATCCTGCAGGATCCCAGACAAATTTATCAGAATGCATGTGAAACGGTGTCAGTGTTGGCTCCTTGTGTCCAACCACCCTATACTTTCTATGCATTATCCTGTTTTTCTGTCCATAAATGCAAACCGTGTTTTCTGCCTCATGAATATGATGCCAAAATATCATTACACAAATTTGTGTCTTTCATCGTCCCTTTTTCACTGTGGTCTCGCTTCTCTTTCCATCGTTTTACCCCTTGAAAATGTCAGAACCATTTCTGCTGATGCTCCGCAAGTGTTCCAGTTTGTCTCTGTCACTGTGAGGAGGTGATGGGACGTTTGGAGGACAGTTAGGGCTCATGTTCTTGTGAGTCGGAGAACAGGAGAAGGTGCAATTTCCTGAGTTTAAGACCCCGGTGGGCTCTAAAAATAATTTCGCCTCGCTGCTACAGTTTGGAAAATGTCTGGTTGATTAAAGGTAGCTGAGCCAAGACATTGTGTGATCTGGTCTGGGGCCACCCTGAGCAGTTTGGTGGGTAGATCAGGGCTCTGCTGCGATGGCCTGGGTCATGGATCATCACAGTAGAGCCTTTCCAAGAAAAATAAAGAAGAAAAGATCACAGGAGGAAAATTAGGATGAATTTATAGGATGATCCAGGAATCAGGAGGAGTGAAGATTGACCATGGACTCTAAGTCAAGTCTATTTTGTTAATGGGAAATAATTCATAATTCATTTTTTTCTAATGAGTAAAACACAAAAAGTATTCATCTGCATTTCTTCCTTCTGTGGTGTAATAAATAATTAACTCCACTCAGCTGCACCATAAATAGAACCTCATCCTGTGGGAACATTGTGGGTAATTGGGTATTTTAGCTAATGAATTAGCCACAGGAGTAGACTGTTTACTTTTCAAACTTTGCTTTCCCCCAGACCCTGGATCATCTCCAATGTGACCCTCTGGTCCAAATATGGTTAGATATGACCCTTAAAAACCAAAGTGGCAGGAGCCAAAATACAGAACTCACGGCTTAAAGAAACAGTTTTCAACCTGGTGGGTCCTGTGCTCCGGTAGCCACGCATCAATCAAACTATAAACACTGCACAATGTATGAGTAGAACACTGAATGAGCTTCCTCGCCAAGTTTAAGCATTTAAATAAATTATAGAAGTCATGGCTACAGGCGACGCTGAATAGGCCTTTATACGTTTGTGCACTTAAGGGTGGGCTGCATGTCAGGATGTGGCGTATCTGCAGAGTGTTACTGCTGCATCTTAGGCAGATAATGACTCGTCGAAATGACTGATTCCTTGTGTATTTGGACTCGACATGAAATGAGAGCGTGCTGTGAGGTGGCTGTGGCGACTCTGGTCTGCAGTCATCACTCATTATGAAGGTTGATACTGAACGCTTTGGATTGTTTGTGGTGGCATACTCAGTGAGTGCAGCTAGTCAGTACAGTATCTTCTTCCATCAGTGTATGAATGTGTGTGTGTGTGTGTGTGTGTGATGTAATGTAAAAGCACTTTAAGATAGTCTCAAGGCTGTATGTGTAAGTTTATTTATAGTGTTCATTAGCAGTGTAAATTTGATGCTTACGTTAGGGCTGGGCGATAAACCGAAAATCTACCAATATTGAAATTTATGACAATAACCGATGTCATTTTGCCCATATTGGTATATTCGGTGTCAAAAAAATAAATCAATAAAAGTTGGTTTTGGATGTGTGTAGGTAGGCTATGGTCTCATGTCCCTTCAAGACGCTGTCCTACGTCAGAGACGTGACTCCACCCCATCCAGTCCGTAACAAAGAGGGAAAGACAGGTGAGGAGATGGAGGACGGTTCAAAAGTTGTAGCGGCTGAAGTAGACAAAGGTTATGTGGGAGGGGGTGTGCAGCTTGTGGAGTATAGTCTATTTATCGTTATCGAGGTGAACTGATCAATATATCGTGATATTGATTTGAGGCCATATCAGCCAGCCCTAGGTTATATCAAACACTTGTGGTGAAACATCAAACTTTGACAAACCACCATAGTCATGTCCTTTGAGTGCTGCACACAAATTGAAGACATTTTCTAAATCAAGGTCTCGTCTGTCCCTACAGCAAATTTGACCCCGTCATCCAAGTGTAGCTCCAGGACAGCTCAAATATCCTTTTATACATTAGACCTTTGACTTTGGTACAAGGGTTTAAAAGCTTTAAAAGCTCCTTTTTTTGGTTTCTTCCAGCTGTGGAGTAAATTTGAAGTGGGTAGAATTCACCCACTGAGAGTGAAACCTTTAAAGGGCCAGAAATAATGTTGGATTTTCACCAAAATCCAAATGGTTCATTGTATACCAAATAAAGTTTAAGTAATGCTTAACAAGTAGCCTGCTGTATTAAGGTGTCATTCAAAGACGCCCTAAATTATGCACAACCTAAATGTAAAAGTAAATGTTCTTTAGTTATACAGCCCTTTACAACAACCCTTTCAGTGAACCAAAGTGCTTTACAATACATAGAATATAAAAATGTATAAATAAAAACAATAAAAAGCAAAATAGAATAAAATACAATGCAATATTATTAAGTGTCACCACACTACTGGGTATTAAAAGGCAGCATAAATAAGTACGTTTTCAATCGGGATTTGAAAAGGCCCAGGTCAGAAATAAGTCTCATTACAGCGGGGAGCTTATTCCAGAGCCTGGGACCAGTGACTGAAAAGGCTTGATCACCCCAGTGTTTGTGTTTTGACCTCGGCACCTCCAGCAGAAGTTGATTTGACGACCTCAGAGCTCCATCGGCTTCCGAACGGTTAAAAGCTCAGTTAAAAAGATGGGGGCGAGGCCGTTAAGAGCTTTAAAAACAAACATTAAAAACGTTAAAAGTTTAAAATCAACCCTAGAAGAGACGGAAAGCCGATGAAGGGAGCTCAGGACAGGAGTGATGTGTTCACGTCTGTTAGTGTTAGTTAAAAGATGTGCAGCAGCATTTTGGACAAGTTGGAGGCGACTAAGAGATGATTGGGAGATGCCAACATAAAGTGCATTACAATAGTCTAATCTTGAACTGATTCAGTTTAAATGAGTCAGATATATAAATTCAGCACACCCTACACAGATACCAAACAGGCTATTAGACTGTCCCTTTGGTTACAGCTGATCTACATGTACTGCACAGGATGTAGAGGCCTGATAAGGATTGACTCCCTTTAAGACCGAGCCCCCAGTGGCTCCTCGAAGAACTGCAGCTCTCAGGCCTTGCTCAGCTGTAGAGGTTGTGGTTTGAGATTGACAGGAGAAGACATTGCTCGGTTTAATTAGACATAGCAAGCCTGGGGAGTTGATGATTGTGCAGCTACACACACACACATATGCACACACTTACCATATACACAGTCAGCTGTAATTAGCTGCATTTCTGCATTAGTCTCTTCCCTGTCAGGTTTGGGCGGGAGCCCAGCACAGGGCAGGAAGGCTGTCTGAACGAGGAAAGCACAAAGCACTTCAAAGCAGCAGAAGACTGGCAGAGACAGCAAGATGGCTGGGGAGATAGAGAGAGAGAGGCAG